ATAACACCCAGTGCTCCATGCAGAACGTGCCCTCTTTAATACCCATCACCAGGCTAACCCATCCCCCCACCCCCCTCCTCTCTAGAACCCTCACTTTGCTTTTCAGAGTCATGGTTCATCTCTCAGTGGGGATGTTTCTGTGTGTTGGCCAGCCCAGGCACAAAGAGCCAGCCCTGTGCCACCTTTCCTGCATCACGACACAGAGCGCGTGAGTCCTGTGGCACCCGACACCAGAAGCCTGTGGCCCAAGGGGAGGCACGGAGGTGCCCAGAGCCAGAGGCTGGTCCACAGAATGTCTCCCAGCTGTCATATGTGTCAAATTTTGAGTGGAGAAATACTAGAACGAGGTATTGCAAAGGTGGATTAGGCAATCCACTGATTTAAAAAATTATTTTATTTTTGGATTTGTGACTTTTGTGGAATTCATCAGACTTTAAAAAAAAACATCGCTCGTCCTCATCTCCTCCCTCATTCTGAATATTTATTCACTCTTATCCCTTTGTAGTTTGATTTGCTTTTTATTAAGCTCTTCTCCCCAAAATGTACACATTCCAGCACTCCCACCCCAGATCTGGGTCTCCCTGCTCCTCCGCTCTTGCCGTGTTTCCGGTTGTCTCCACGGAGGAGGCTTGTGTGTGGGGCCATGTGTGTGGCTGGGGAGGAAGGCAGGAGCGAGGGTTCACGGCCGCAGGACTGATCTCAGCCCTCCAACGTGGCTCCGTCGGCTACAAAGCCCATGTGCGGATCTCCCCGGCTGCTCTACGTCTCAACTGGTTCCAAATGTGGATGAGAAATAAAGGAATGTTTATTTTTCCCTCTTAGGCTAAGAGCCTAAGGGGAGGGTCCGATCTTGTCTGAGGGCCGCAGGGAAGGCTGTAGACGCGAGTCCTGCCCGTTGAGACATGGATGATGTTCACAGGCTCGTGAGGCAGAGAGGAGGGGCAGGGGGTAGGGCTGTTCCAGGCGGGCAGCATGAACGGCCGGTGCCAAAGCCCAGTGGCAGGTGGGGGCGGGCAGGTGTGAGGCCATGAGAGGAGACGGGCTGGGTGAGGGTGGGGGCAACAGCGGGGCTGTGCCTGAGACCAGACCTCGCCGGGCCCTGTGGTCCGTGTTAAAGATTTTGCTTTTTCTCCTTCGAGCAAAGAATACTGCTGAAGCGTGCACCGGTGAGATTTGTGTTTTGGAACGTGCGGGCCGGTCAGAGGATGCAGGGCAGGGCAGGAGGCAAGGGTCGGAGCAGTTAGGAGTTTCCTGGGGGCAGCGTCTAGGTCAGCACCAGAGGTAGGGGCAGGACAGACACCGGGCTGGCCGGAGAGGTGCTCGGAGAGTCTACGGCCTTTCTCCCTGCTGAGCTCAGACGAGACGTGGAAGAATGAATCCACTAACTGACTCACCATCCCCTTCCGGGCCACCTCCTTCCATCTCCCTAACAACCCACCACCCATAATACGCACCGGGACAGGAACGGATGGAGGAGGTCGGTGGCGATGTGTCCTCGGCCTCCCCCGCACCGGGCATGCTGTGCTTGTGAAGCCGGCCCCGGGCGTCCCAGAGCCAGTGCCAGACACTGCTGAGTGCCTGTGGCTTCTGGTGCCCACGTTTCATTCTGCCCGAGGAGGCAGATGCGTTACGGAAGGCACCTCCACGCCCCCGCCCGGCGCTGGAAGACTCCATCTACAGCGGGACGAGAACAGAAACAGTCCACAGTGTTCACCGAGTCCTGTGCCCCGAGCTGTGCCAAGCCCAGTGGCTGTGCATCAGGGCTGCCACACTGGTGTGTGACACAGTCGCTCGCGCTGAGGAGGCGTCGCCCAGGAAGCAAAACAATTTTCATGCAAGATCTATGGAAGCTGAGCTGCCTTCGTTCTTTCCGAGATGCCGGGACCGCCAGGGGTCTGCACTTAACAAATTCAAGTCACCAGATCAGCCACTCCCAACTCCAGAATGCCTCTGTGCCGAGGACCCATGTGACAAAAGTGGTTTCTAGGTCAACCAGGTTCTCAAAATAGGGCAAGAAGGAAACCACAGCTTGTTAGCAGAACAATGAAATGCTTTATTTGGCCACAAGAGGGAGCCCGCGAGCAGACCCGTTAGGACCCGATGCTCTGACGGGAAGCATCCTTAACAAGCCACCTAACTACCGTGGATGACTTCTGTCCCAGAGCCACTCTTTCCTAAGAGAGTCTAAGTTAGATTTTAAGAAATAAAAACTTAGGCCACAAATGGTCCAGGACATCTCCGTGACAGGGGTCCCGGGGCCCAGGGCCCACTCTGTCCGAATTCACCAGGCGCTGGCCCACTTTGACTCGGGTTGGGGTGATGCCCCCCAGGGGACATCTGGCCACGTCTGGAGACAAGTCTGGTTGCCACGACTGGGGGGCAGTGCTCCTGGAATCTACGCACAGAACGGCCCCTGCCCCAAATGAAGAATTACCTCACCCAAAATGTCCATAGTGCCAAAGTTGGGAATCCCTGATTTCAATGAGAAGAGTAATTTTCTTTCTGGGTGGGAAAGGCCTCTCCTCGCAGTAGTTTAAATAGGGCCGGTCTGGAAGCTCTGGGAGCAGAAGAGTCCCCCAGGAACAGGCCTCCTGAGGGAGAACTGCTTGTCCCCTTGCCGGACGAGCCGGCGGGCTGAGTGGGGCCACCCCCAGAAGACCCACGGCAGGTGTCATGATGTATCTGTGGGGCTAGGGTCCCCAGGGTCGGTGACATAGGCCCTCAGGCCAGGGATTCCACGGTCTGTGTCAGGGTGCGGAGGCCCTGAGACTCACCACCACCCAAAGTGGCCAGGCGTTAGCTGCTGGCTGAGCTAAACCCAGGAATGGGTCCAGATGAGAACACCGTGGCCAGGTGCATGGGACACGGTGCATGGGACACGTCTCATGGGACAGACAGAACAAGGTGGTAGAAATGGTGGAAAAAAGGCTTCCAGCCAGAAGACCCCAGCCCTCTCCGAGACCCCTGCAAGCCCAGCAGAACACCTGGGAGTGACCGGGGACAGGCGGGTCCCTGAAGCTGGAGTGAAGCAGCCTCACGCTAGGCGGCCGGGTTCGGGGGGCAGCAGGACACCGTGGGGTGGGGGGTTCAGACAGCCAGGGAGGAAGAGGTCCCTGAGGAAGGGAGCCATGTCTCGAAGCCAGAGAGAGAGAAAGCTGCAGACAGGTGTCCCACATGGGTTTCTAATTCCACAGGCCGGAGGGTACGCCCTGCTCACGGAGGCCTTGTCGGGCGCTGTCCATCAGTCTCTGTCCAGCCCCCTCACAGCGAGCCTGGAAGGCAGAGGGGGACTCCCATCCCCCCTCACCGTCTCACTGGGCTGGGCGGGGCGCGGCAAGCAGGCAGTGTTCAGGCCTGGTCCTCGGCTTCAGCCCCGACCGCCGCGATCTACAAATTGCTTCTTTCCCTTAGCAGCTTCTTGGGGCTCTCGCTGTCACCAGCTTCATTTTCTTGCTGGTTCAGCCTTTTGCTGCTTAAAACACAGAAGCAAGGCAGGAGTCAGAACTCTGATTCCAGATCTGTCCAGAGGCAAGAAGTCCTCCAATCTGATCAGATGGAAAGGCAGTGACAGGCGATCTAAACCATTTTCCTCTGACTGGGATTGTTGGGAGACGAACACAGCTCCCAGTTTCCCTGTTTGGTGGCGGAGGGGGGGGTCATCTGAGGGCCACAGAGAAAGGAAGCCCCTGCTCAGATGCTCAGATGACTGGGTGCCCAGGACGCATTTACCTTACTGCAAATCCCAGGGTGTCCGTAACAGTGGGGGACTGGTGGCCCTTCAGGGGGAAGGGACGTGGAGCTAGGTCATGGCCGACCCGGCCACATCGGACACGAACAGCAGCAGTGAGGGCTGCCAACCCCTCCCACCAGCGTCCATCATTTCTGGGACCCTCTGGCTAACACCCCGAGAAAAGGTGCTGATTTTTCTACCCAGACTTCGGGTGGTCAGTAAGCACCCACAGGCAGTACACTGGGGTCCCCACTGTACCTGAGTGATCCCGAGGGGTGGCCCCCTGAGGCAGGGTCATCGTCGGTGGGCCCCCCTGGGTCCCCTTTCTCCCGGGGTGGGGGCTTCTTCCTTCTCATCCTGACAGGCTTCTCTGCAGAAGACACACAGACCCAGACATTGGCTCTGTGACTTCACGAGCCTCCAACCAAGCCAGGCACTTTCTGAGTACCTCTGCGGCCAAGTATATACTCTGTGCTTTCTGCTATTATACCCATTTAACTTATAGGGAAACGGAGGCCTGGGGGTGAGGTGCTTCCCAAGGCCATACAGCCATTAAGTGGCAGAGCTGGGGTTCGAGCCCAGGGCTGTGAGGCTCCCACTGTGTTTCCATCGCACAAGCAGTAAGACCCCAAGAACACAGCACTGGTATGGCAGACCGCTGTGTTCCTACACACCTCCCCGGCCCTGTCCCGTTAGCAGGCTACGACACTTGTGGGGTCACTGAAGTTGCTGCTGGCAACCAGATCATTAGCGGGGGGCTAATTATTCCCCGGGGGCCCAAGTGCCGTCCTAACTGAGCCTGTTTATTTACAGACGAGGACACAAAAGCCATGCAGAGGGCTCGTGGCAGACACGGGACTGGCATCCCTATTCCCAGCCCTCAGAGCCTCCCGCCTGGCGGAGTGCCTTCTAGGCCTTACCTGACAGTCCACGCTTACTTGGCGACAGTCTACTTTGCGGAAGGGGCACCCGGGCCAAGGCCGCCAGCTCAGAGATGAAGCTCTGCTCGGCTTCCTGAATGCAGGGAGGGAGGGTCAGCTGGGGCTCCCTCTGCCCGGTCCCGCCTCCCCAGCGCAGTGGGGCTGACGCTCTCCAGGGAGGCTGACGGGACCGTGTCCCGAGGCAGCAGGGGCAGGGCAGACGCGTGTGTGAGGGAGGGCGCCAGCATTTTCCAGCTTCTGCCGGACAACTGCCATCCTCACTCACGCCAGCCGGGGAACCCCGGTCTACAGATGAGAACACTGAGGTGAGGGCTCATTGAGGGCCACAGAGGGGGAGCAGCAGAGCCAGGATCTAACCCGCTTCTGCCTGGCCCTGGAGTCTGAGTTCTCAGCTGCCACCACTGTGGGCTAACCACGGGCCTGGCTTCCGTGACTTATGGACTGTGGGATCTCTCGGAGCCTCAGTGTCCCCGTCTGGAATATAGCAGGGACCCCGTCCTCGGTGGTCAGAGGATGACATCAGAGGGTGCATGCACAGCTCTCGGCTCAGCGATAGACCTCAGTTAGTAAGGGTTCACCGTCTTTACTGCTGCCTTATCCTGGCTGCGCTGGGGGTGAGGACTCCTGCCGGCCCCAGGGCTCATGGCCAAGCCAACTGCCAGTGACGAACTCAGCAAGCCAGGGCTGAGGTGTCTTTGCTGACCTTGATCACGAGAGTGGCCTTTTGTTATTCCCATTCCTCGTGAACCCCCCCGCCCACTTTGGGAAGGCACTTTTCCGACACCCTACCTGCAGCTGGGTCTCGAGCTGGGCTTCCAGATGATCCATAGCCCTTGCCTTCTGCTTCCAAGCATCCAGGCGGATCCGCTGGTGCACGGTGAACTGGGCCAGGAACTTTTTCTGCTGTGCCTCCATCCTGGCGGAAGGAACAGAGGCCATCAGTGTTGCCCTTGCTGGCCGGCCAGTCAGAGGCCAGCACGACAGCTTCCCAGGGGCCTGCTGAGCCTCGGGGACTTGAGCCCTTGGATCCATAACAGAATGGCCTCCGCTGATTTATGGTGTCTACACAGGGGCTGACTCATCATGAAAGCATTTCGCGCTCGGGACGTTCCAGAATCCCACATGCCTGTTTTCCCTGGGGTTCTACCAGACCCTTGGGGGTACCAGCAGGACCAAGAGTAGCATCATCAGGGGTGGGAGCAGCTCAGAGGGGCGGGGGCCTCCCTGGGGTCCCCCAGCTGCCAAGTGACTGAACAGCAAGTGGCCTCGTCCTACGAGAAATCATCTGAACCCAAGGTAGGGGGACGTGCTCCTGGGAGGACCAGAGGCCCACCAGCTACCCATCCATATTGAAAACAGAAACCAGAATGCTCATTGCCAAGCATGCGGCATCCGACAAATCCCGAATACGGGAGCACCGGCCTCCGCGGGGCAGAGCTCTGAGCTGGGGCAGCAGCAGGGTCCCTGACCTGCAGACGGCCCTACCTGGCTTTCAGGGGCTTTCAGGACCCTTCCCCTCCCACTCCGAATACCCTCCCTTCCTGGGCTGACCTTCCTCTGGCCCTCAGCAAATAGGAACATTCCATCCCATCCACCTCGTTTGCATAACTGCTCTCCAATCTTATGTGACTGCTTTTCTAACAGGGCTGAATTTCTGGACCCGAAGAGAAAAGCCACCCCCAGCGTCAGCAGGTAGCTGGTTATGGAGTTTCCCCAAAGACACAACATTTCTCTCGGTTTTTGCTTCAGGCTCTTCTGCCGGCCAGCAATCTTTCCCCTCTTCTTTGTATTTGCCTGGCAAACTCCTACTCATCCCACAAGACCCCATCATTAATCCACCCATCCACTCCTTCATTTACACACAAAAGGACCTCTGGCCTGCCGGGGGCTGTCCTGTGTTTGGAAGATACAGGTGCGAACAAGACACGCCCAGTCCCTGCCTGCATGAGGCTGCACTGTGAGCTGGGGGTGTGGTGGGGGTACAGGCCGAACACATCATGGGAAGAGCGGAGGTCAGGGCCCTGCAGTATGGCCTCTCCCGCACCCTCGAGGAGGCCGCATTCATGTCCTGGGGCTGCTCAGATGGCCGCAAGCTGACGGGAGGCACTTAACAGCAATCGATTCTCTCACAGCCCTGGCGAAGGCTTCCGTCAAGGTGTCGGCAGGGCTGTGCCCCCTCCAAAGGTTCTGGAGGAGAGCCCTGTCCCTGCCTCTCCCCACTCCTGGCGGCTGCTGGTCCTCCTTGGCTTGTGTCCGCATCATCCCAATCCCGCCTCCGTCCTCCCGTGGTCCTCTCTGCGAGTGATCGAATCTCCCTCCGCCCCACTTGCCCGTGGGGATAATCCAGGACGATCTCATCTCAAGATCTTTAACTTAATGACGTCTGCAAAGATCTTTCTTCCCAATAGGTCGCACGCACAGGCTCCAGGGATTAGGACACAGGCAAATCTTTGGGGGACCCCCATTCAGCGTCTAGGTGGCTTCTTGCTGTGAGCAGCCTGTCCTATGCCCATTCTGCCAACAGTCCTGGTCACTCTTGGCTGCCACCCACTGTGGACTTGGCTAACGGGAGTGGCGGGCAGGGGGAGCACCACACGAGGAGGGGCTGGAGGGGGGCTTCACCCTGTAAGGCCCGGGGAGCCGGAGACCTGGCTGCCTCGTGTTTCTGTGATGCCCTGGCTGCAGTGTGGACAGCAGGACTAGACGGGAGCCCAGAGGCTACAGCTCTAAGCCGGGAGGGGAGTGACAAGGACCTGAGACAGGAGAGTGGCCGAGAGAGGAGCCATGCTCTGGACAGTCCTGCCCGCAGGGGGACGGCCGCGTGGGGTCCTGGCTCCTGAGCGTGAGCCCCTTCAGGACTGCTGGCCCTCCAGCACCTTCCGGAAGAAGGGAACGCACTGGAGGTAGGCCTGGCTGCAGGGTCCGAGGTGCCTAGACGGGTATATCAGCTCCTAAAAAACCCCTTACCCTTAGACTCATATTTGATTATGGAAATGGCTACTTAAAAGACCTCTGTTCTGACTGAGTTCTGATTGCGGAGCCGTTCCGATTGCAGGAGGCACCGTAGCGACGACTCTGCGGGTGGGGAGGGACATCGGGGCGCTGGCCGTGCACCCCCCTCGCCGTGGGCGCTGTGTGCAAATATATCCGTGAGGCAGGAGCTACTGCAAACCCGCTTCAGAGATGGGGAAGCTGAGGCTCGGGGCGTGAAAGGACCACCGGGCTAGCGGGTGGCTGTCGGAAGGGGCTGTTCCCCCACAGGGTCACCGGCATCCCTCAGACGGGCCCTCCCACGATCACACCACTCGCCATAGATGCAATTTGGAATTTGTCATTAGAGAATTGCTTTGCGGGCTTAGAAGTATTGCTCTTTCTGATCGATTATCTGTTGTCACGACACGGCTCTGTCCCAGGAGTTCTGGCTGACTTTCAATAGGAACTTCGAGTAGCGGGGCAGGGCGGGAAGGACACTGATGGCCACGTAGGAGCCTCTAAGTCACAGTAGGACTCAGTCACGCACCCACATCCCCGCTGGGCTCTGCTTCCATCTTCCATAAACTTGGGGGAGGTTGGACTGGGGTGGCTGAGGCCCCTCCTCCTGGGTCACGGGGGTCAAAGTGAAGCCCTCGGACTACATCCATCAGCAGCCCTGGAGAGGAGTGTGTTAACAATTCAGATTCCTGGGGACCCCCTCAGAGCCCCCGAGTTAAGTGTCCAGGCGTGGGCCCAAGACCTGCCGGTCCAGAGATGACGCTCCCCGCCATCAGAGAGCCGCTGGCCCGTAGTCTGATGGATCTGCAACAGTCAAGGCAAGGTGACAGCTTGCAGCCCGATGGCAGGACATCTGCTGACCACAGCTAAGGGCCCGTTGGAGGTTTGTGGAGAGCAGATGTAGGACGCAGCCTGACCCAGGGGGCCCTGTGGTTCTTGGTTCCTAAACCAGCTGTCAGATGACGGGCTGGAATTGACCGTGAGGCTTGGCACAGGGCCCACGCCTCTGTCGTGCAGGGCGGTGGTCGTCCTGCTGCAGCTACCAGCGGCTGGGATGTGTCTGCCCAGACAAGGGACCCGCACCCCCGCCCCGTCGTCCTGCAGGGACCTGCCCCTCCCCCAGCAGAGCACCTGCACCAATTTATTGCTGTTTCCCTGTCCGTCTCTCCCCCCAGGCTGTGAGCTCTGGGGTGACAGGTGCTGTCCCCAGGGGCTGGCTCCGAGCCTAGCAAGAGGGGGGGCTTATAGGGGAATGCTGGTGCAGCCACCCACGGCCCCTAGCTCACGGGGAGGCCGTCTGCGCGTCCGTGGACAGTCGCCACCCAGGCCAATGGCTCCTTACGCCAAGTACCTGTGTCTATGTCTCAGGGCATTCTCTGGCCCCCGGGGTGTGCCCGGCCAGCTCGGGGGCCGGCCAGAAAGCCTGGTGACGTCACACCTCCAGGGCGGACCCTCAACCAATGTGGAGCAGGGGGTGGTGGACAAATCCTTATTTTCCACATCCCTTGCTGGCAAAATTGGAAGTTGAATTTTATACAGTTTCTCTGGAGGTCCGGAGTGGGACTGAGCCTCAGGCGCCGTCGAAACACCTCACTGTCCCGGGGTTGATCTGCTTTGTTTCTGTTGTGGTCGGCCACACAGTGCCCCCCACAGGTGTCCCTAATCCCCGGAACCCGTGAAGACGTCACACTTCATGGCAATCAGCTCCTTGGCAGGCTTGTTCAGGGTCAGCAACTGTTAAGATTTGGAGATTATCCTGGATTATCTGGGCGGGTCTCAATCACTGGGATGCTACAAGCAGAGAAGTTTCTCCAACTGGAGTCAAGAGAGATGTGGCCGAAGAGGGAGGCAGAGGACTCCAAGCATCAGGATGTAGGGGCCGTGAGCAAGGACGGGAGAGAGGCTGCTAGGAGGTCAGGGCGGCCCCCAGCCGACAGCCGCAAGGCAACGGGACCTCAGTTCTGCCGGGAACCTGATGGTGCCAACCTGAGCAAGCCTGGAAAGGTTCTTCCCAGAGCCTGGACAAGAGCCCAGCCGGCTGACGCCCAGAAAACCCAGCAGCCCCCGCGGGGACCTCTGAGCTGCAGAAGCGCGTGCTTTATAGCCGGAAACACCTGCGGGCCTCGCATCCCTCTCCCTCACTGGACTTGCCGGGGTCACCTCCAGAGTAAACAGCCTGCCCCCCATCCTCGTGTCAGAGCCTGCACTGGGGGAGCCCGCCACAGCCGGCCTCCCTCGTTCCCTCGTGCCAGGCCCCTCCGAGGGGCCGCGTGTCCAGCAGGGAGCCAGACAGAGGCGCGTGGGCTTCCCCAGGCCAGACAGGTGCACGCACCATCAGACGCACCATCAGACGCTGAGTGTGTAGCAGAGATTCCAGAAAGGGGAGAGCTCACCTCTGGTGGACCGCCTTGCAGGCTTCGCCGGCTCCACCCGCCACCGGGCTCCCCGACGAAGGCTCCCCGAGTCCTTGCTTTGTCCGCGGCTTGTAGTTCTCCATTCTCTCACCTAGACCATTCAGCACACGAGATCAGGGGCATGTCTGGGGACCACGTCTGTGCCAGGTCCGGCATGGGCCTGGGGCACAAAGATCAGCGGGGCACCTGCTCTCAGAGTGTGCTGTTTACCCAGCACCCAGCACCCACGCTTAACCCTGGGAAGGCTCCAAGTGCATGAGAAAGCACGGCTTCCGTCACAGACCCTGCGCCCCTGGAGGAGGGGGAGGAGCCTTCTAGAACATAGAGGTTCAACCTGGATGGTCTCTAACTTGCATGATCTCTAGGGACATAACATTCTGTGGCTATTCAATAACAAAGAGTATTGAATGAAACAAAAGTTGCTCATGTGGCCAATTAAGTTTATCACTTCAATGCATTTCCTGAGAAATCCTCACATTAGAGCCGGGGTATCAGGGAAGCAGGAAATCAGAGCTGAGAGGATGCATGGAGGGTGAGCCCAACCCTAGTCCCACAGATGGGGAATCAAGGCCTAGAGGGGAAGTGAACCGCCCTGAATGCTCTGCGTGACAATCTCGTCTGTCTCCTGCTGTCTCCTGCTGGCCTAGCCCAGCCCTTACTTCAGAAAACGAAGTGTGTCCTAACTAAGAGCACGTCCGGCCTGCAGGGCTTCCCTGAGGAGGGGGCCGTACCCTGCAGGGTCTTCAGATGCTGCAGTCTCCTCTCCTCGTGGTCCTGCATGACCCTCCCGATCTGCTGGTAATAGGCGTGCACCAGCCGGCTGACCCCGGCGCTGGTCACGTAGACGCTCTCCACAGCCGCCTCCATCAGGGTCCTCTGTGGCAGGAGGCGAAAGGCTCAGCAGAGAAGCCACCCACGAGCACGGTCCCCTGCCTCCCCTCGTCCTGCTACTTAGCTTCCACCACTCCCAACCTTGACTGGTCGGGGAGCAGGCAGAGTGCGTGCTTGGCTTACACCCGTCTCGGTTATCCAGTGGTCTGGGGCTGGCTGTATGACCCGGTTCTGGCCAATGAGATGATGCAGTGTTAGGGAAAGACTGATGGGGGACCTTCCCTTTACAAACATTAAGGCAAAGCTTAGTGTGGGGGAAGATTTTGCTGTTTTCTTCTTCCTGCCTGGAATGCAGATCTGATGTCTGGAGGGGCGGTGGCCATTTTGAGATTATGAGGCAGCGAACTAAAACTAAGAATGGTGGATCGGAAGGAAAGAGCTGGTGCTTGGTCACATCACCGAGCCTCTGTGCGAGCTCAGAACCACCTACCTCCACATATCTTGTTATGTGGGATGAATAACTTCTATTTGTTTGCCATTTTAGCGTCTTTCTGTTACCGGCAGCAGTATGCGTTCTCAAGTGACAAACCTTCAGGCCCAGAGCAGAGAGGAATGCTCAGGGACGTGTTGGCTGTGCACTGGCAAAGCCACCAACCTTTACTTCATAAGGTGATGGGCAGAAGTCAGCAAAGTCAGACTCGAGAGTCCCCATTTCAACAAACATTTGTCGAATGGTTCCAGGCTTTGGGCAAGAAAAAAATGCCCATTTATTACGGAGCAGTTACTGCTTCGGGGTTGATTATGTTATGTTTCTAGAGCTGTGCTATTCACTCATTCTCCCAGCTCTGCCTGAGAAACGTGCCCTGCTTCTGCAGGTGTGCAAACAGGCTGTGCAGGTGCAGAGGGTGGGGGAACAGGTGTGAGGGTCTGGAGCTCCCAGGGCCCTGCTCATCCCTCAGCGTGCCGTCTCTCTCCCCCTGTGCTGACTTGGGCGTTCTCACAGAGGGGCTCCGCCTCCACTCCTCCAAGGACCAGGGACCTGGCCTTGCACTTCCGGCCAGGAGCTGTTACTGATGGCTGTGGCCTGCTTTCACTTCCATTTAGAACACGGAGCCTGAGCGGAAGACAGGAAGTCCCTGTTCTCCACCTCCCTCCCCAGTCAGCAGACCCACCCACACCATCAGGCCTCCTGTCCTCCTGCGTCCCTGCCTCAGGGGGGCGCTGTCTGCTCCTCTCCGTGTCCTGCCCGGCTCCTGGGAGATGGTAAGTCCCATGGAGGGGAGATGCTGCCCGCCTGGATCACTAGCCCAGCGTCTGCCACAGGGCTGGGGGCGCCCCGTGACTGTAGCTTGAATAAAGGAACGTTCTTCCAGAAACCGAACACCTGTTCTTTCTTGTAGGTGTGTGTGTGGGGGGGGCACTCCCACCCTAGCCTGACTCAGAGCCCTTCTGGCAAGGGATGCCATGCTTACATTTATACCATTTTCATGCCGTGAGCACTTATCAGGAAAAGGCGTAGAATTTTAGGGAAAGGAAATGACCCTCCCAGTGTCGCAAACCAGGCACAGCCCTGAGGTCGCCTGCTGGTCTGCCCCACTGCCCCTCGTCCGCCCTGCCCACCCGCCCCATCCCAGTCCCTCTGGCCCCTCGGGTTCCCCGGGGACAGGGGCTGGCTCGCACCTTGAAGTCATCCCTGTCCTTGGCCCGGCTCTTGGTGGCTGCATTCCGAGCGTGCCCCAGCAGCGCCTGCCCAATGGCTCGCTCTGAGTGCTGTTGCAGGAGCCGCCCGACCTCCTGGGCCTCGGCCAGGAGCTGCTGCTGAAGCTGCAGCCGCGTCTGCTGTGTCTCCCCCTCCAGCCGGCTGGCCTCCTCCACGACTCGAGCCTCCTGGAGCGGACAGGAGAGGGAGAGCCCACGCTGCTGCTCCGCACGGGCGCTCTGGCTGGGGTCATGACCAGGATGTGGGGCTGGCCCAGCCCAGGGCCCCAGGAGGGCGGAGGAAGGGATTGAGAAGGGGCAGAAAGTGGGGACCTCTGGGCTTGCAAAGTCAACAATGCATGTGCCGGAGTATCTGTTGAAACCCCCCCAAGCATTTATTGGGCACTGACTGCGTGCCCAGCGCCATCCGGGGCCTCTCACACGTACAAGAACTTCCTCATTCTTCCAAAACACCATGAGGCCTGAACACTGGGAGTGATGAGGATATAGAGGGCCAGAGACACTAAGTAACTTTGTAAAAGTCACACAGCAGAGCTAGGTTTTGAAGCCAGAGTTGAGTCTGAGCATAATCTGGGACATCACGGAAGCCGGGGCAGGGCATATAGGGCCCTGGGGACGGTCCTTCCTATGGGAATCAGAGTTGGAGAAGGAGGTGAGGGGACAGAGAGGAAGAAGAGCCAGTCCTGCCTGCTTCCCACTGAGCTCTCCTGGGCAGAAGGAAAGTGACCGTGAGCTTCTCCCTCACTAATGGGTCAAAACACCAGCTACTCCATGAGAGCAGTCAGCCTGCTCGGGTTTAAATCCCAGCCCCGCAATTTACAGATCCTTTCTTTCAACTTGTTCAAACCTTAAAACAGATCACAGGGCCCCTTCCTCCCAGTACCCTGATGACCATACGGATCTGATTTCTGATTTCATATCCATGTGTAGCATAATTCTCAACAGAGCAGACACTAATGCCCTCCGGCACACTGGGTGCCCCCCGCCCCCAGGAGGCTGCCACTGTCCCACCCTGCAACAGCAAGGGTGGCAAGATTCGGGCTTTGGCAGCCATGGCTGAGCCTGGACCCTGACGGAGTGGCAGGGTTAGGCCAGGGGGCTGACACGCCGATCTTACCAAGGCTCTGAGCAGCTGCAGCTGATGTTCATCCAGACACTGGGAGGAGCCCTGCTCGAGGGCGTGCTGCTCACGCAGCTCCTGGAGAAGGCTCTTCTTCCCGGAAAGTCTCATGTGGGCCAGGGTGGTGATGGCGCTGCCCCGGAGAGCCAGCCTCCGGAGGGCAGAGCGTAGCAGCAGGTCATGCCCCTGCCGGATGCACCATGTGGACCTTTGAGGAAAGTGGGCACGGGGCTGGGAGTCAGAGCTCTTGGCTTCACTGAGCGTGATGGTTAAATTTGTCAGCCAGAATGTTCACGAGATGCCCAAACATCTGATCAAACATTATTCTGGGTGTTTCTGGATTTTCTGGGTCTAACATTTGAGTCAGTAGGCTGAGTAAAACAGACTGCCCTTCCTAATGTGGGTGGGCCTCATCCAGTCAGTGGGAGTCCTGAAGATAAGAAAAGGCTGACCCTCCCAGGGGTTGCATTGGTCTGGAATATGGTTTTTCTTTCCCCCCTGCCTTTGGACTCAAACTGAGATATCAGCTCTTTCTGGGTGTTAAGCCTTCAGACTTGGACTGGAAATACACCATTGTCTCTCCTGGATCTCCAGCTTGCCTATGTATACATCTCCTGTTCATGCCATGTCTCTGGACAACCCTAATACATTGAAATCAATAAATGCCTCAAGTAGCCCTGCTCCCCAGGTAGCCTTTCCAGAATGCGGTAGGTTGGACTTATCCCATCTCGTGCTGCCTGTTTTTTTAGACATGGTTGCTCACCTGTATTCAGCCATTTGTTCTTTTATTCATCTTTTCAACTTTATCATATCCTGCCCCAAGTTTCTGATGCATATATGCAGCTGTCTTCAGTAGACATCTACTTGAATTTCTTACATAACTTTCAAAATCAACACATCTTGAACTGAAATTGTGGGCTATTTTTGAGTTCCCATCTCAATGACTCTGGTCTACCAGAAAGGCCCAGCATTTGGTATTTTCTGACAGTCTGAAAAGCTGAACAGAGTGTTGGCAGTCAATCTACCAAGGAGGAGAGTCCTGGCAAACACTCCAGGCTTTCAGCTGGGGGCTCTTGTCCTAAGAATAAGGAATCATCCCTTACAGAAGCTTAATTTTGAATCAGCTACTTTCACAAATGGGGTAGCAGATCTGCCACTATGTGAAATCCCTGCTAGAAGTAAGATAAATCCTCTCTGGAGGAAGATCCCATTATTCAAAAACTTAAATTATCTGTGTAATTTTCAGTTACTGTGTCCAGCATTCAATAAAAATAACCAGACTTGCAAACAGATAAGAACTGGTCAAAAATAAAGAGAAAAAATAGATAATAGAAACATACCCAAAAGATACTGGATATTGAGATAATCAGACAAAACCCTTACAATAACTATGATGAATATGTTTAATAAATGATAAGGTGAAGAATTTCAGGAGACAACTGAGAACTATGAAAAGAATCAAATGGAAATTCTAGAACTGAAAATTCAGTACCAACATTAAGAACAACAGATGGATTTAACAGCAGATGAAACATTGCTTAAGAGAGCGTGAACTGGAAGATAGTTCAAAATTAGTGTCTAGACTGAACCACTGAGAACAAAAGAATAAAAAATACAGGACAACATATAAGATGTATGTGGCATAAGGTGAAAAATTCTAATAAAATGTGTAATTGGAGCCCCAGAAAAGTAGGGAAAGAATTGGCAAAAGAAATATTAAAGAGATAATGGCTGAGAATTTTCAAAAACCAATGAAAGATAGCAAACCATAGAAGATTAAAGAAGCACTACAGATTTATTACACAAACAAACAAACAAGAAATACCTACAAAAACCACATGTATATTTAGGCATATCATAATAAACTGATGAAAACCAAAGAACAAAAGAAAATCTTAAAAGCAGCCAGAAATAATTGAAACCAGAAGACAAAAGATTATCTTTAAAAGCATTTAAAAAATAACCAAACCAGGATTCTATACCCAATGAAAACATTTCTCAGAAATGAAGATGAGAAAGACCTTTTCAGACAAACAAAACCTAAGAGAATTTGTCACTAGCAGATCTGAAATAAAGAGAACCTTTGTGCAAAGGAAAATAATCCCAGATGGAAGCCTAAAGATACAGGAAAGAATCAAGAGCAACAGAAAGGGTAAATATGTGAGCAAATCTAAATAAATATTGACTGTATAAAACAATAATGGTAATATCTCACGGGGCTGAAAATAAAGAAGTAAAATACCCACTAAGAAAAGCATACTCTATGAAAGAGGAATAAATGGAATTAAGGTGTTCTAAGGTGTCCGTATTGTCCGGAAGAAGGAATATATTAGTGTATATCAGATTTTGACACATCAAGGATACAATTTAAAATCTTTGAACCACTAAAAGCACAGTAAAAGAATACAAAACTAATATGCCAAAAGAGATAAATTAAGGTAATAAAAAAAACCTAATACAAAAGAAGGAGAGAAAGGGCCACAGAGCAGCAGAGCAAACATAAAACAAACAGTAAGATGATAGATTAAAAATCCAAATAGATCAGCATTAAGATTTACATTAAATATAAATAGACCAAATATTAGTACAATTAAAAGATACAGGTTTTCAGGCTGGACAAATCTTCCAGTCGTTCCCTATTGTCTTAGGATGGCCCACGAGGATTTTCTGCTTGTTGTCATCTCCTTCCCCTATATGACCCAATACGATAGCTATCCACCTACTTCTTGATGTATACACACACTAGTGTCCTGGAAAATGCTGACAACTAGAAAAACAGTTTTATCAAAATAATTTTTCTCATATAAAACAAGGAAAAACAAGTATTTTAGAGAAATTTGAAAATATGGTACTACACTAATAGCTATAGAAAAAGTAGAAAAGAGGGGTGCCTGGGTGATTCAGTAAGTTAAGCATCTGCCTTTTACTCAGGTCATGATCTCAGAGTCCCCAGATTGAGCCCCACATCGGGCTCCCTGCTTAGCGGGGAGTCTGCTTCTCCCTCTCCCTCTCTTGCTCCCCCTGGCTTGTTCTCTCTCTCTTTCTCTCTCAAATAAATAAATAAAATCTTTAAAAAAAGAAGAAAAATAGGAAGAATACAGATTTATTAATAAATTGGGAGTGGCTGAAAATGGGGACAAGGGGGCTTTTTAAGTGATGGAAATGTTCTAAATTTGGATCATGGTCAAAGCTGAAGAACTCTGTAAATTTACCAAAAATCATTGAATTGTACACTTAGAATAATGCATATGAATTAACTTCCAAAAAAAGTATTTAAAAAGGTTGCTATGAAAGACAGCTCTATGAAGTAGATGTTATTAGCCCATTTTATAGATGAGGAAATTGAGGGCAAGATTTTCCCAGATCAAGTCTGACCGCAAGCCTTTTATCTGTGGCACTCTGCTATCACTCTTCTCCACATTTACACTTACAGATTGGTTGGTCTCAAAACCACTCTGTAAGAATGGCAGGGGGCAGTTAATGTGTCCACCTAACAGATGAGAACACTGAGGTTAGCATGGAGATCACAGAGGACACAGCCGCCCCCCTCCCCTTCAGAAAGCTGTACTCACTCTTCACTGAGGCCACCAAGTCGGCCCAAGACCTGGTGGACGATGCTCTCATGGTCATCTTGCAGGTGCATCTGCAGCACGGAGGACAGGGCATGCTCCTCCATCCACACCTAAATCCAGCACAGAGCAACAAGGGGTCAACTCAAGTTCACTTCACCCATCATCGCTTATGTTGGAACATGCCTTTTGTTTCTTGTTTAAAAGATCCTTTTCTCCCCTGATTTCATTAAGATTTTCTCTTACAGTTCCTTCTAAAGATTTTTAAAATTTCTAAGTTGCATTTAAATCTTAAAGCATTGAACATTCATTTTCTGTGGCGTGAGGAAGACATCTAATTTTTTTCTGCATAAATGGATACTAATTGTCCCAGCACCATTTATTAGATAATTTATCTTTTTATGGCTGGCTTGTCATGCCACCTTATCTTACACAGTTTCCATGTATACACAAATGTCATTCCAGGCTCTCTGTTTTAGTCCTTGGGGCTGTCTTTTTATTTCTGCATCAACACCATACTGCTTTAATTGCTGTTGCTTATAGCAAAACTGCATAGACATTAGGGCAAATTCTCCCATATTCTCTTATACAAAGCTGTCTTAGCTATTCTTGGTTGCTTTTCCTTTCATATGAATTTGAGCATCAGTTTATCAAGTTTGGGAAAACTGCTTTTTGGATATTCTTGTAATTGGACTGAATTTATAGATTAATTTGGAGAGGATCATCATCTTTCCAAGATCAAGTTTACCCATTCAAGAACATGGCATTTCTCTTCAGTCTTACTTTATGCCTTCAACAACAGTTTATAAACTTCTCCACTAAGCTCTTAGACACATCGGTCAGGTTTATTTTTAGGCACCCTATAGCTTTTATTCGGAAGAGGATCCTTATTGATGTTATCACTGGGTGCTCGGGTATGTAGGAAATCTACTGGTTTGGGATGCTGATTTTATATCTGGGAGACTTACTGAGCAATCTGAATAGTTGTAATAGTTTGTAGATTCTTTGGGCTTCTCAATGGAGACCTTCATATCATCCACAAAAGCCCTACAAATGAGCCTCAGATCATCAATTGTGTTGTTTAGATCTTATCTTTATGGCTTAACTTATGATTTTTTTTTTTCTTGAGATGGGAGGTGGAAGGGCAGAGGGAGAGGGAGAGAGAGAATCTCAAGCAGACTCTATGCTCAGTGCAGAGCCCGACACGGGACTCGATCCCAGGACCCTGGGATCATGACCTGAGCTGAAGGCAGACACTTAACCAACTGAGCCACCCAGTTGCCCCTGGAACTTTTCATTAAAGTCAGCCTCTGACTTCTCTTGTAAAGAGTCTACAATAACCTGTCAGAGTGCTTAATGGGCTAGAACTTCGTAGAAAATTCTATACAGCGGGGGCACCTGGGTGGCTCAGTTGGTTAAGCCTCTGACTCTTGATTTCAGCTCAGGTCATGATCTCAGGGTCGTGAGATTGAGCCCTGTGTCAGGCTCCATGCTCAACGGGGAGTCTCTTGAGATTCTCTCTCTCCCTCTGCCTCTGCCCCTGCTTACTCTCTCTCTCAAAAGAAAAAAAAAAAGAAAATTTTGTACAGCCTTGCTTCTCTAAATGGTAAATGAACCCATATGGGGGTCTTTGGTGGGCACTTCAGAATGCAGGTAAAAACAGCATCAGGACTCACAGTCGAGAGGACCAAGGCCATCAGACTCCTGCAACTATCACACCAACATCTCCAAAGCTATCAAATGCTGGCTCGTGAATGCTTAAATTCAGAACCACAAGCAGCTTCAGTGGGCTAAAGTGCTGACCCTGGTCATTGCTACCTGGAAATTGTGTGGCTTTGGGCAAGTTTACTCTTCGTTTTAAGCTTATAGTTACCAAGGAGAGAAAGGGAGAAAGGACTAGCAGTCAGGGCATGCCTGGTACACGCTGAGGGTTTTGTAGTGTTCTCCCATGACGGGGCGGGCTTACAGGTGGCTGGGTTCTGAAGCCAGCACTCAGGCAAACACTGTCATGCTGAGGGAGGGGGGACACTGCCATTTTAAAAAGCACAGTCAGGGTAGGCCTCATTGTGAGGGTGGCCTCATGCGAGGGTGACACGGGAGCAAAGACTGCAGCAGAAGGAGTAAGGCAGGAGCACACCCAGTGAGCGGGAGGAACGCAAGGAGGCCAGTGTGGCTGGTGCAGAACCAGGAGGTCAGAGGGAAGCCGGGCCCCGACATGGAGGGCCTCGTGGGACAGGGTGAGGATGCTGGCTACTCTGCATGAAAAGAGAAGCCACTGGGGGTCTGGAGCAAAGAAATGACACAACGCAACTGTGTCTTTTAGCAAACCTGATGCGCTGGCAATTACAAGATGCACAATTATTTTAAGTATCACTAAGGGAGACAAATCACTGCCAATTAAATTATGATGCATCTCAACGTCCAGGCTGTTAAAATGTTTTTTAAATGTGCACCTTAAAAATTAGTGTCATGTGGTATGTTTTGAAAGGATCGCTCTGGGTGGGGGGTTGAGAGTAGACCACAGCCGGGGGAGGCGTGGATTCAGGGAGACCGGGGGGCCGGCTGTCACGGGATCAGATGACAGGTATGGTACCTGTGACCAGGTATAAGGGCAGATGTGATGAAAGTGGTTCCATTCTGGACTAGACAGAAGGCAGACCCTGTGCAACTTCCTGTCAGTTGCATGTCGGGGATACAAAAGGACGAGTCGAGACAACCCCAAGGGTTTTGGCCCGGTCGGTGGGAAGATGAAGGAAGAGTGTGGATGGAGTGGGTTGGGCAGGAAGACCAACAGTTCTTTTTTGGGGCATGTGACAGGTCCACGCCTATTCATCACATACAGGAAGATCTCAGGCAGAGAGTGGAGTCTGGAATGCATTCTGAGCTGGAGACATAAATGAGGGAGGTGCCGGCCTCAGTCCAATAACCGAGGGATAGAATCCTGCTGAGAGCCATGTAAGTGAGCTTGGAAGCGATTATCTTCCGGCTGAGCCACTGGATGAGACCCCGGCCACAGGCTGGATTGCAGCTGTGAGACCCCAAGCAGAGGACCCTGTGAAGCCGTGTCTGGTCTCCTGATCTGCAGAAACTGTGGGATAATAAATGTGTGTTATCTTTTTTTTTTTTAAATATTTTATTTACTTATTTGATAAAGAGAGACACAGCGAGAGAGGGAACACAAGCAGGGGGAGT